GAGAGGACAGAGTGACCGGGGAGGGGAGCAGGTAGGGGGCACCGCCTCCACGACCACAAGGATTCCAGGCAGTACTGGGGTGCACAGACAGAGGTGTGTCCCCCCACAGCGGGCTCGAGACAGGCGACAGGCCTGCTGCTGACCGCCGCTCTCAGACCTCCCACCCACGGGGCTGAGACGCCGGCGGGGCGAGGGCAGGGGCTCACCGCCCCCGGGAGCAGCCAGGTCTCCCCTTACTTCATGGGCACTTCCTGAGGGGAGCCCCGGGCCGGTGGCCCTCCCCTCGGGCACCCCACAGCGGCCTGTGCCTCAGATGCCGGGTGTCCAGAGCTGATACTTACATTACCACCTCCAGGGACATGCTTAATATTGTCCTTGGAACCACACTTGGACTGAACATGGCTGTAGTTCAATTTTTTGGAGACTATCTGGACCTGGAGTGTTAGAGAACAGAAAACAACACAAGGGAGGGCAGGTTAGAGCTGACACGGGGCGGCGGTGAGTCCACGGTGACCACGAGCCAGGGGGGGCGCTGTTAAGACCCCGACCCCATCGCCAGCCAGCGGAGCAGCTGTGGGAGGCCGGGGGAGGGAGCTGAAGGAGCAGGAAAGGGAGTGAAGGACATGAACACACACCACGAGGACGGAAGCGGATGCCTAAGTGTTACAGTGTCGTCATCGCTGCTCCCTGGGGGTCCACGAGGCCGACAGCAGCCAGTCCCAGGTGCCCACCCAGGTACAGCCCCACCACCCCCTGCCCACTCTCTCCCCGAGAGCTGGGGCAAGACCGGTTCCCACAGCTCCTCTCTCAAGTGTCCTGCTCCTCGGACCAGGCCTCGCCCACAGATGCCACTGTCCTTAAGTCCGGGGCCTGGACCAGAGGCAGCAGACCCACCCGGGGAGCAAAGGCTGCTGGGAGAAGCGCTGGGCAGCTGACTCTCAGGGCACAGATCTGACACTGACGGCGAGGGACACTGGTCAGCTGTGAACACAGTGGACCACGGGCTGCTGGCCGGCCGCGCACGACCCTGGGCACCAGGGGGAGCGCAGTCTGCATAGCCCATCTGTCTCAGAGCTCGAGAAAGCACGGCATGACTGGGGCTCAGGTGGAGGCTTCTTCCTGACTCGACCCGCCGGATGCCCGGCACTGTGCCTGTGAGCTTCGTGGGCAGAGAGGACAGGCAGGGCTGCAACGATGCGCAGTCGGGGGGTGCGGGTGGGGGGCACACGGCTGCACGCAAACTGCCCCCCAGGAGCGCAGCCACACAAAGGCCCAGGCTCTCCGGGCTGGAACAAAGAACTCCTCGGGAGTCCTCTCAAGAAGGAACAGTTGCCAGCTTCCTTCCTTCCTTTCCTTCAGAGCCCTCTGCAAATGACGCAAATCCCAAACTGAGTTCTCCACTGAGCAGAGAAATCCATCCTGAGAACTCTAACCCAGATACCTCGCCGTTTCTGGCCTTTACAAGTTCACTGATGAACGGCTGTTTAGCAAACACTTCTTGCTGAACCTTGGTCTGAACCAGAAACCTACAAGACCTGTAAGGGTCACCTGGAGCCATGGTGCAGCCTCCCTCACCTCGCTGACCGGACAAGCCAGGACGGGTCCTAAGGGCTGGGGCCGAGGCCTCGCTGGCAGCCCTTGGCCAGGGAGCCCGCCTGTCTGCCACAGCTAAGGGGAGGAGGCTCCCGCCGCAAGCAGGAGGGCCCAGTTTGCGTGGAGGCGTGGGGAGGAGCCCGGAGGCTAGCTCACCTCCGCCCCGCGGCTGAGGCTGCAGCCCCCAGAGGCTGGGGGGTCCACTGTTCCCAGCACCCTAACTTTTAGTTGGCAGGTGACCTGGGGAACCAGGACGAATAAGGCCATCCCCGTACCCAGCAGTGTTAGGAGAGGGGCCTTCCAGGTTGGCTTAAAGTGCCTGCTGGAAGGTCGCCAGAGCCACGCCTCGCTGCAGAAGACCCGGGCGCTGTGCGTGCGGCCTGCGTGCGGCCTGCGTGCGGCCTGCGTGCCTCACAGCCGGGTTTCGGACCAAGGTCAGGGTGCAGGCCGTGACTGCAAGTTCTGGAGCCATCTTATCCGGCTGGATACATGTTCCCCGAAAGGACTAACGGGCTACGAACTCTTCACTCTCGGGGTCAGTACGGAAGGTTTCCGGGTGGCTGAGTCAGCAGACACGGAGGGCACGTGGCAAAGGAGAAACCCGTTGAAAGAGAGGAAAAAGGGATGACAGAAGGGAGAGCGACTCAGGTCGGAAGAGACAGCGGCCGCCTTCGACCTCCGAGAGGGAAGCGTCTAAACGAAACTCACTTTCCCGGCAGCCGGTCTCTGTGCGCTCGCGCCGGGGGCAGCTGCTCGGGCCGCCGCGTTAGGTTCGGGTTTTCGAGCTGCAGCAGCTGCCTCTGATTTTTCCTCTACTTTGGCCTAGATGGAGATAAATGGAGGGCAAACTTCAAACCAGGACAAGAGCCCCAACATCAAAGAGGAGGGCAGGCTGGGGACTCAAGGCCAGGCCAGGCCGCCGGGCAGAAGCAGGTCACCCTCGCTCCTAGGGGGAAAAAAACACCCATTTCCCACGGGAGAGCAAGCCAGAGGGAGGAGCTGCAGGCCACTTGCGACGTGAGTTAGAGATCGACACACCACTTGCCACTCACGGAGAGAAGGCGGGTTACTGACCAAGCACAGCGTCTTCACACTCAAGTGGTCCGTACGGCCCGAGCAAGCTGCCATGGTCTCAGGGACCACCGCTGAAGACGGAAGTGTCACACCCGCCAGGTAGGTGGGAACGTGATGTAACCACCAGCCCGAGTCCCTCGACTCCCCGCCAAGACCGTCGGCAACTTTGCACCACGAAAGCCTGAGAAGCGCGGGGAGGGGGCAGGAGCACCTCGGCACCTCGGCCCCGGAGGCCTGGCCGGAGCCGCGGGCTCGCAGGCCCTCGCCCCAGACTGAGGCCGGCTGGCCGTCGGGATCCACTTCGCCTGCACCCGCTTGGACTGTTTAACAGCTCAGGATTGAAGCCGGTGAGCGCCCTGCCCTGAGGGACGGTGGTGGGTTTGGCGTGAGACATGGCGTAAGCGACGAGACGAGACGGGTGTGGCCCTGGGGACCGGAACCTGGCCTTTTGCCACCAGCTTTCCCCACACCAGGTCCCCATGGGTGCTAACAATGAACAATTCTAGGATGGGTGCAAGAAGGAAGGCCAGGCCTCTCATCAAGCAGTCTTTTCATTTAGGACGGCCAGGGGTCACAGCAGCAAGTCATCCTGGCCAGCAGAGGACGCCCTTGTCCTTCCTCAGAGAGACTCTCCACCCACCCAGCTGCCTATCCCGTGGCCCGCGGTGCAGGCATGAGAACCACGACACACCGGGGCCCTGTCCAGCGTCTCCCCTTCTCAGTCTCAGAGGCCCCCTCTCTTCCTTTTGGAAAGGAGAAGAATCCTTTAGCCTCTAAACGAAAACATGAGCCTAAATCCTACAACACGAACAGGCGCCCCCGACTCGGGTGGGAAGAGAGAGCCCAGCGCTCGGCCACCCCTGCCCGGTGGCTGGGACCAGTGTCCAGCTCAAGCCCGCTGGCACCAATCCACGTCCTGACTGGCCCTCTCTGGTGCGCCCTGGGGTGGACGTGAGGACGTGACGGGGACAGTGGCTGCAAGTGGCAGGGAAGAAGCAGGGGCCGGCATGCTGAGGGCCCCAAGCCCCCCGGACCCACCCGGCCGCCTCCAGGCTGATGCTTGATGTTTTCCGTGGAGCCGACCTTGGCGCGGATGTTCTTCAGGTCGGGGGCAGAAGCATTGGTGGACAGGCGGCTCAGCCTGGGGGCAGAGGAGCTGGGCCTGGCTGACGTGGGCTTCCTGTCCGCCGCAGCAGTCCCAGAGGGCCGGGGAGGCGTGGCTGTGGGCTTGACTCGACCGGGGGCCGCGCCTGCTGGGGAGGCCGCCCCAGGCACAGGGGCGCTCTTCTTCGCTGCACTGCTGGAGGTGCTCTTGGAGCGACTCAAGTCGGCTGCAAAGGCAGGAGTGAGACAACAGGTTCCGGGGGAGATAGCAAAAGGGAGCCTTGAGGCGGCGGGGGATGTGGGGTTTAGGTTAGGGTCCCACAAAGTGGGGGTGGCGCATTACCTGGCGCAGACTTTGTGACCGTCTTCTTGACGTCTGTGGGTTTGCCCTCGGCCTTGATGCCTGCACAAACAGAGTTTTTGACGTATCCTGTAACAAACCGGCCTACGGAATATCTCATCCAATCTTGAGATTCATCTGTTCATTCGACAACAGCTGAATGTCCCCTCTGAGCCAGGCAGGGGCTGTGCTGGTCTCTGGGGACCAAGTGGTACACTCAACGGCCATGTGAAGACCGTGCCCCACGCAGGGTACAAAGCCAGGCACCGCATTTCTTCTTTCCCAGTCCTGACGATGCCTTCCACGTGGGTGAGCAATACACGCCTATTGCACGGAATGGCCTATTTCTTAGCGTGGAGGCGCGTGACCACAGCGTGCTTGCTGGGTGCTGCGGCGATGCTAAGAATGCACGGGAGTCCCCTTCGCTCAAGAGTTCTCTGAATACACATACCTGCTAACCTCACGTGGAGATCAAGGCTGCCAATTTCCAAGGTACCCCGTTAAGGACGGACGCACAAGCAGATCTGCACAGCTGTATGTGATGCTGGCTGGAGCTACAGCTGGGGCAAAGCCAAGGCCCCCACTCCCCTCCCACCGGTTCCCGCAGGAGGAAAGGGTGGCAACACTCACCAGCAGGCCTCTTGGGCAAGGGCATGGGGGTGCTCCTACTGCTCGGCCCAGCGGAGGCAAGAGAGGCAGCTGCTGTGGCTTTTGGAACAGTCTGGGTGCTCTTGGAGCCAGGCCGGGAGGCCACGGATGAGGCCGGCTTGGATGGCGTGGCCGGCTTGGTCGGTGTGGCCTTCTTCTCAGGAATCTTGGCCTCTGCAACAGGCTGGAAACGGGAAGGCGAAAATAAGACCTGCAGGTCAGCAACGGCCCCAGAAGTCACGCCAAAGGACAGTTCCACAGATAGGCACCAGAAAACAGGGCGCTGGATGTCTGGCAGCTACTGCCAGGAGAATGTACGTGGCCGAGATCAGAGTCCTCCAGACAACCTGAGAAACCGGCCCTGAGGGGACTGTGCGCCCTGAGGTCAGGAAACGGGGAGCCAAACGACGGCAAGTCAACCTGCACTGACGAGAACGGACAGCCCCAAAAAGGACAGCACATCGCAGACTACACGTGCCTCAGGCTCTACTGCACTAAATGCGGATGTATTAAATACTTGACCAAAGAGTAATCAATCACAAACAAGACAAAAATTAAAAACGATGTCCAGGCAAATCCAGCCATTCCGCTGGCTGAGATGCACTCGGTGAATGCTGAACAGGATGAGGCCGCAGATGGGGAGAACACGGGCCGAAGCCGTCAGGTCAGGGCCTGAACTCCAGCCTCGGTCTGGCCACCCGCCTCAGTGTCTTCTTGAGCAAATCATTGGGCCTCTGGGGCTGTCATTCTTCCTCTGGATAAAGAGGCTGGAACAGAGGATCTAAGGACCAGCTCTGACCCTGTGAGAAGTCTCTGAGGGCACACAGATGACGGGGGGCCGGCCTGACCAACAGAGAGAACGAGAAGCACGATGTCACCGCTATAACTAAAAGCTAAGGGAAAGGTCTCTCACAGGTAGACACACGCATCTGGGTCACCAGCTCCTCCCCGACGGAGCCTGCACATGTCACCAGCAAAGAAGCGAAGGAATCAAGTTAGCTTGGTTTCTACAGGAATAGATGGTGAACACACTATTTTGATAAGCAAGTGTACCACGTTACTCGAGTAAGCCACGCGCACAGGCAGACACAGTGGGTCCAGCTCTCTTACGCCAAGAGAAATGGCCACAGAAAGGGCAGTATGTTGGCAGAGACAAACAGGGAATTGCTGAAATGGAAAATCGGCTAAGAAGGTGCTCAGAAATTCAGGGCTGGCATCCAGTTAAATAAAACCTAACCTTGCAAAAGCAGGGTAATGTCTATTTATATAAATGAAGTCCCAAAGTTCCTCGTGGGATCAGAGGAACCGGTTCAGCTACCAGCCATGCCCGGAACATGCCACTGGAGTTTGTGCAGAGGGACCGCCTATCTGTTTGTTCTAGAATTTGGAGACTAAACCAGGTGTAGCCTGAGGACTCCTTCATATTTTCAATATTATGACTATGATTCAGAAAAATATTTCGCTAGCCAGAGTAATAATGATACAAGAAGTGAGAAAAGGATGTGACATTCTTTCTGTGTCAGGCTCTTGGCCTCAGCCAGCTGCAGGCCCAGCTTGCTTTCTAAACTGGAGACACTCTGCAGTTTCTCGATTTATATTTTCTCCGCTGCCAGAATCACAGATCTATTTCTTTTTGAATACATTCCCCTCCCCCTCGGTTTGCTTCTATAATTAAAATAAGGACAAAAATATAAAAATAAACTTCATTAGTTTTTATTAGTTTCTCAAAATGTTCCTATCTTTTTCTTATTTAAAAGATAAAGACTAATAATTATCACGTAGGTCACCTCTTCAGGTCAGCTGTAACTCAAACGCTGACTAAAAGCTGCGTGGCAGAAGGCTGTGAAAGAACATGCTGACAGAGGCCCCGAACATCAACCCTGGCAGTGCACCCGAGTTCAAACGCCGCGTCTGCCACTTACTAGTGCTGGACTTCAGGGAGGTTATTGAACTGAGCTATAAAATGAGGGGGCTAATATTACATCATGGGGTGTGGAGAATTCAAGGAGATAATGTATTTAAAGAAACCAGTACAGCACGCTTCATTTTTATTACTATTGTAGAGTGAAACTTCAATGGATACCCCACCTCCCTACACCTTCCTCTATCCGCCCCCGGATTTGCTGCTAAGTGTGTGTCGGGGGTAAGCTACACCATGGCTCCGGTCACCCCCCCTCTGCCCACCTATTCAAAGACATTATTTTCTAGAAAATCAAGGAAAGCAGTCAACTGGGTAAATGAGGATCAGAAAGCTTACGAGATGTCATCGTCCCTAGTCTACGACAGGATTCCTCAGTTTCTTGGCCAGGAGTTCGACCTAGACCGCAACTCCTAGGCTCTGCCGGTTTTCCTTACAAGATTAGATTAAAACACTGACATTTTAACATGGGAAATTATTTCTCGACATGAATTTAGAGACTAACATCAGGCCGACCTAACGGCCCTTTCTCCAATAAAACAGGACGTTAAGGCAGCCACGGACTCCTCCGAGCATCTCGGGAAACCGATGCTGTTCCAGACTGACCAGGCACTAACGCGCGGGTGACCTGGAAAACTGAACAGTGCGGCAGCAGCCCAGGGAGAGGTGGCCTAACGCCAAAAGCGAAGAAGTAAGTTACCACGTGATGTGGGATCTGCAGTGGTAAGCTGGAAGAGCTTATCACCAAAGTACCGGGTCAGATTCACTTCTGCAGGATGATTGCAGAGAAGGACAAAGAAGGAATCTGACTGGGGATTGCATGTGGGATTATCCCAGAAAGGAACATCTAATCTGATCAGTATGTGGAGAAGCGGAAACCGGTCAGCAAGTGTTTAAAGCGCTAAGGAGCACTGGGAGAAAGGAGGCGGGACCAAAGTAGACTTAATACTGCTTTTCCACCGGGCCAGGGAGAGGTTAAAAGTATAAAAGGCCTTCGAAGGGTACAGCTGCATCGTGGGCCCCCACACTGACTGTCCAGCCACCCGCCCCCTTCACCCGGCCTTTCCAAAGTTCCACCAGCCTGGTTTCATGGTCTGGTACCAACAGGAGCCTTTCTACCTAACACTCAGAGGCGAAAACCTTTCCCTGCACAGCGCTTAGGCGACTACTTACCTTAGGCTTCACATCTTTTGAAGGTGAGATGGAAGACCTGGCAGTGGCGGCCGCAGGGCGTTTGGGCGGGGCAGCTGGTGCTGAGCCTGAAGCAAGGCTCATGGGTTTTTTAGTCGACCCACCTAGGGTGGTGGGAGCTGGCTGCTTAGGGAGAGAAGTGGGCTGGGTTTTGGCTTTCGATGTTGAAGTCTTTGCAGGCTGAGTTGTGGCCAAAGGCTTTAAGTTGATTTGTTGTTTGTTTGTTTTTAAAGGCCAACATCAAACACACAGACAAGAATAAAAACAAATTAAAAAAAAAAAAGTATAAATTGCACAATTCAAAATAAAATTATAAGCAATGAAGAAAGATGCAACTGAAAATTAGCATTCCTTTCTTCTGAGCTCAGTAAATAGCAGAAAAACACCAGGATGGAGACAAAGAAAACTGGGAATTGTTTCTTAATGACAATGTTACCCATTCCAGCAGTTTGACACCTGAAGATTTAAATCCAGTAACAGCCCTAAACATTTAACTAACTTTTGGTGGCTGAAATAATTCCATGAAGAATGGTCATCAGCAGGTAATCACACCATTATTACCTGTACCTTGATGAGGCAACTTCAGCATCCTGTTTGTTTGTTTGTTTTAAATGCCTACAGCTCCTGGTCTTCCAAGGTGGTCTCCCATCCAAGTACTAACCAGGCCCGACCCTACTTAGCTTCCGAGATCAGACAAGACTGGGCACATTCAGGGTAGCATGGCCGTAGACAAGGCATCCCGTTTTAAGATCACACCAAAGTGTGGCATTTAAACTTTGTAATGAGAACCAGTAAGTGTCTGAAGCTGTGATTCATCCTAAAAATCTGTGCTCTCTTTTCATGAATGCAGATTTCAGAATCCATTTCAGAACAGCCTGTAACTGCCTCTACTGCTGGTAAGGGAGGCAGAATCGGCCTCTGCAGAACATCTCTACAGACACTCAAGATAGCAGGGTCAAAGGCAGAGAGAGAGATGAAGGTTTGAGTTAGGTCGCTATGCTGAAGCGGGAACATAAAATGTTTCTTGAGCACGTCCAAACTTGGGAAAAGACCAACAACAGCTCAGAAAAAAGAAATTTCATTCACAAGTCAAGCAATAATAGCTGAAGATACAATTAAAAAAAAAAAAATTACAACGGTAAAAGACAACCCACCGTTCCGGCAACTACCTTTGTTTTCTTCTCTGGGCTTGGTGGGAGCTCCTTGTTGGGAGGTGCGGTGATGTCATTTCCGGTCGTAGTCACAGCAGACCGTCCTTCTTCTGGCTTGGCTATTCCTAAGTGGGGAAAGTTATGCTAAGCAAATATTTTTCACACCCATTTCAAAAATGGAGAAGTCTTAGTGGAGACAGACAACTAACGAGCACTTCATTCTGAAAAGCATCCACAGGGCCGTGCGGCTGAAACGTGGACAAGGCTCCCAAGTTCCTCTCATTGTGACGGACGGAGTTTCAGATTCCAGAGATTCGGGTGGCCTGTCCCTGTGGGAAAGCAACCTAAGTGGGATGTGCACAAATGATCAATGGAAGGAAATGGCCCTTCGCGTTTGGCTTCCCTTCCCTGGAGACCAACCACTAACTCCCGGAGCACACAGGACAAAAACCTCTTCTACTGGAGTTTATCTCTTGGAATGAAGGTTGCAAAGAGATGGGGTAAGAGCCACAAGGTCCTCCTCTTACTTCCTTTCCCTGTAAAGCGCCACTTTACGGAGGATGTGAGATTGACTCGATCTAATTCTAGCAGCGACCCAGATTTCCAGCGAGGCCAAGCAGACCCATGAAATCAGACCCAGGGCCAGAAATCGAGCCCATGGACCACAACTAAGCCCAGGAGCGCCTCTGTGAGGAAGCTGCGTCAGATTTCAATAGGGCTACACCTGAGAGCATTAAAATATCATGAGATTCATAACCTGGGTGTCGGGAAAATCTTTCTAATTGGCATGAAATCCAGAAGCCACAAAAGATAAGTCTGACTAAAGAAAAATAAAAACGTTCAATGCGGAAAAAAAAAGGGGGGGGGGAGAGAGAGAGAGAAGTCAAATGATAAACAGGAAAAAAACATCTGAACTTCACATCGATGACAAAGAACTTATTATAGAAATTACTCCTACAAACCAATAACTCCTATATAGGTCAACGACGCACTGGACAAATAGCCAAAAGAATACGAACACAGTTTACAGAAATATAAATAGTTTTTGAAAATAAAAAGAGATGTCCAATCTTTAAGAAAAATGAAAATTAAAACTACACTGAGATGCCATTTTCAACCTAACATATTGTCAAAAGTCCTAAAATTTGAAAGCAGGCCGGGGACAACATGAAGACACGCAGTGCTGGTAAGTGTGGGAAACAAATGGTCCAGTTCATATGCAAGGCAGCCTAGTGGTATCTCTGGAAATTACTAGTGTAGGTAAACTCTAATGCAGAAATCCAGTTTCTAGTTTATATTAGAGACACATTCATACACCTGCAAAACATCTCATGTTCAAGGTCCTTCATCGGAGCACTGCTCTGAAAAGCAAAGGACCGAAACAACCTTCAAGTCTGTTAACAGGAAACTGGTTAAAGCATTATGGCAGAAATTATCAATATCGTCAATCATCTCCTGAGTCTGAAAAATAAAGCACCAAAAAATCCTCTCATGACTGATAGGGAATGATCTCTAAGTGAAAAGAAAAGCAAGGAGCAGAACAGTGCGTGTGACATGAAACCATTCGTCTAGAAATGGGATGGGGGTGGAATACATTTCGATTGCAAATACACTGGGACATGCATTCAAAAGAATCTGGAAGGATCGCGATGAAGCAAAACAATGGTAACAGAATTTGAAGGGGGGATGGGGCACAAAAGTTGGGAGGGCAAGAGAATTATTTTAAAACTTTTTGTTCTAAAATAATTATAGATTCACAGGAAGTTGCAAGAAAATGTACAGGGAGGTCCCATGTCCCCTTCGTCTGGCCCCCCCCGTGTTGGCATCCCACGTAACTACAGCACACTGTCAAACCCCAGAAACTGCTATCAGTATAATCCACAGAGCTTATTCAGATTGTGCGTTTCACGTGGACTCATCGGTGTGACTGTGTGTGCGCACACACTTGCACACATCTGCAGTTCTTTGCAATTTGACCTATTGTACGTAACCACCAGCAATCAGGACATAACTGTTCCAACGCACAGGGCTCCCTCGTGTTCCCTTTTACGGCCGCCCCACTCCCTTCCCTTTGCAGTCCGTAAATTCCTGGCAGCTACTCATCTGTTCTCCCTGCCTATAATATTATTTTGATAATTGAGACAAATGGAATCAGACCGTGTGCTGCCTTTGCATGTAGCCTCTCAGCTCGCATAAGGCTGTGGGATGCATCCTTGCACACGTATTAGGAGTTAGCCAGTTCCTTTTTATTGCTGAGCAGTCATCATGGTCTGGCTGTACCACAGTTTAACCAGTCACCTACTGGAGGGCATTTTGTTCGTTTCTGGTTGTTCGCTATTATGAACAAAGCTGCTGCGAACATTTATGTAAAGGATTTTGCATACAAGAGGTTCGTGGTTACCATACGGAAACACAATCCATTCTTACATGTTGACAGTGTATCCTATGACCTTCCTAAATAAACTCGCTTATTAGCCCAGGTATTTTTTGGATAGAGTCTTTGGAATTTTCTATATAGACAGTTAATCAGGTCACTAATTCCAATTTTATCCTTTTAATGGCTGGAGTGATCTCTACTGTTCCTGTTACTGGTGGTTTGTGTCTTCCCTCTTTGTCAGTTTTGTTAAAGGTGTAACAATTGTATTGTTTTCTTTTTTTAAGTACCGACTTTTGGTTTAAATGATTTTGTTTTCTTGCTTATGATTTCACTTATTTCTGCTTGCTTTGGATTTATTTTTCCTAGTTTCTCGGTGTAGCAATCTATAGATGAGTGACTTTCTCTAATGTAAGCCCTCAGTGGCATAAATTCCCTCTCAGCTCTGCTATAGCTGCATTCCACAAAATTTCATTTGCTGCATTTTCAATTTCATTTAGTGAATTGGATTTTCAAAATTTCTTTTGAGAACTTCCCCTCTGACCTATGAATTATTTAAAAGTGTGGTTTAATTTTCATGTGTTTGACGATTTTCCTGTGGTCTTTCTGCTATTGGTTTCTAATTTGATTCCGCTACAGTCAGACAACATATTCTGTATAGTTTCAGTTTTTGAAATGTATTTAAATTTGTTCTATGACCCAGAATCTCTCTTGGTGAAAGTTTCAGGAGCACTTGATGAGAACATGTATCCTGCTGTTTGATGGGCAGAATTTCTATAACTGTCAGCTGGATCCTGTTGTTTGATGATATTGTGAAAATCCTTATTATCGACTGCTTAGAATCCCCAATTATGATTGTGGATTTGGCTATCTCTCCTTTCAGCTCTATCAATTTTTCATGTAGAAGCTCTGTTTTTTGGTGCATATACATTTAGCATTGGTATGTCTTCTTGGTGGACTGATCCTTCTTTGTTGTGAAGTTCACTTTGTCTGATATTAATATAGCCAGCTACTTTTTAAAGCATTAATGTTAACATGATATATACATATTTTCCATCTTTTTACTTTTAACCTACCTTTGCCCTTACATTTGACATGCATTTCTTAAAGACAGCATGTAATTGGGTAATTTTTTTTAAAAAACCTGTTCTTATGATCCGTCATTTAATTGTAGTTTCAGACTATTTGAATTTTAAATAATTATTGGTATGTTAGGGCTAAAAACTATTTGAATTTTAAATAATTATTGGTATGTTAGGGCTATCTGCCTTTTTTTTTTTTTGGTTCTCTCTGTTTCTCTTGCCTTCCAATGAGATACTTAAACTTTTTTTTTTTTTTAGAATTCGATTTTGATTTTTTAGTTTTTGGGTATATTGCTTTGCATAGGTTTTTTTAGCAGCTGCTTTAGGCACTCCAGTGTACAGACAGCCTACTGGAATCAATGTGTTACTACTCCAAGTGAATTACCGAAAACATACCTCCACTGAGGAACTTCTACTCCCCGTACTTTAAAAACATGTCTTAAATATTTCCTTTTCTATTACATTTATACCTGTTTCCACCCATTCCATTGCTCTTTAATCTCTGAAATTCCAAGCCTCCTTCTGTCATCATTATATCTCACCCTTGTGGAGAGCATCCTACAGCCGTTCTCGAAGGGTGCGCACTAGCGACAAATTCTCTTAGTTTGCTGCTATCTAAGAATGTCCTCATTTTCCCTTTCTTCCTGAAGGATAGTTTTACGATACAGCATTTACACTGGACTGTCTTTTAACACTTGAAAACTGCTGTGTAGCTACTTCTGCTCTCCACGGTTTCTGACAAACACACTGTCATTTGAACAGCTGTTGCCTAATGGATCATGCATCATTTCTCTCTGGTTGTTTTTAAGATTTTTTTATTTGTCTTTAGTTTACCAAAGTTTATTGATGATATGTCTTGGTGTAGACTTCTATGGGTTTTCTCATTTGAGGTTTGTTCACTTTCTTGAATCTGTAGGTTTATCACTTTGGATGAATTTGAAAACTTCAGTCATTATCTCTCTGAATAGTTGTTCGGCCTCACATTCTTTACTTCCTGGGATTCTGATGATAAAAATGTTAGATCTTTTGTTATTGTCCCAAAGGTCTCTGAGGAGCTGTAATTTTTTTCAGTCTATTTTCTCTCTGTTGTTCAGATTGAGTAAATTCTATGGACCTGTCCTCAAGTTCATGATTCTGTTCTAACATCTCCAGTCTACTATCTAGTCCATCAGACACATTTTTTACTCTGATTATTGTATTTTTCCTATCTATAATTTCCACTTGGGACTTTTTTTTAACATTTATTTCTTTGCTGAGATTTTTTAGTTTTTCCTGTGTTTCAAGAGAATGCATGATTGCTTGTTGAAGCAATTCTATGACACTGCTTTAAAATTCAATTTTGTACTTTAGCAGGTAATCACCGCTTAAACATAGCGAGCAGGATACAGCTATCTACAGTTTCAACAACGATTTAGTTTCCAGAGCCTGTGCAGAGCAATTCTGGTCTGCTGTGTTCTTCTAGCTCCGGGAAGCTCACTCAGTCCCTGCTGGTCCTGCCTACGAGGTCTGAAAGCACTTCCCTGGGCCGCGTGGTTTCACTAGGTGGTGGATAAGTGATGTCAGACCCATGGAGTGCAGAGTTTCTCCTGGCCTCTTCTCGGGCAGACTTCCTGTTAGATCTCCTGATGCTGCTGGGAGTGGGAAGCGCCTATCAGCCCTTCTGCTGCTG